GGGTCACAACTAATGGAAAAATTTTCAGATTTGCAGTCATAAAATTCTGATATTTTTTGTGCTGGTGTAGCAGAACCTACACCAGGCACCCACAAACATCTTGCATTCATTCCCATTAATAAGACTCTTTAATGGGGAAAGAGCACTCTCAGACTACAAGTACGAAAACTGTCAATATTTCAACACTCAGTTCCAAAACACTCCCTTCTGCACAGTCAACGACTGTGTTACTGCGACTGAACATGTATTTTAGCCATGAGGTTCGCAAATTAAAACCTTTTTTTTTTGCAATTGACACATCACGGAATCCAACACAGCACTCAAAAAACAATTTACGTTTTAAATAAAATTATATATTTTGAGCTGCAAACCACTGAAAAATGTGAACGTTATACATCTCTACTTTTGAACTTCATTAATGCAACACTTGAAAAAATGAGCAACTTGTTTACAAAATTCCTTTCAGCTACCAAAGTTCTTGTAATCCCAGAATTTTCTTTTGCACACCTTAACAGGCATGTGACAAGTTTCTAATAACTCCCAGATGATACTTTTCTGCAGTTAATTTCCAAAGTTCATAACAAATTACCATTTATAACTCTGAAGCTTTACAAGTTGCGAAGCTTTAAAATGAGTGCTACTATATTTCTCTACATGCATTATCAAATGAGTTTTTCAAACGTGTATTTCTTTTACCACAGTACGACTGAATTTTAAAAAAAACACCTTGACAGAAATAAAAAAAAAAGGCAAAGATGTTTGGCTATGGGGCCAATATGTATACCAAATTTCATCACAACAATCTGAGATGAAGTGTAAAGGGTAGGCGGCAGCTGTTTTACTGTCAGTAACACAGCATTACGATGGCAGAGGTCATAATAATTTATAAATAAAACAATCATAAACCCTATCCTATTATTCTGTAAGTTTTCTCAGCAACATATAAAAACAGTGTACATTGCATACAGCATTATACTCTAAACTTCATACCCCCTATCAAGATAATTTACTGGAAACCATGAAAGTTCATTAATTTTTAAAGTGATAACCATGATTGGCTCAAGAGGGGAAAAAGTGTAATTTTGGACTTACGGTTTTAAACAATTTTCAACAGAAATATAATAAAATTCTCCTGATCAAGACCTGAAAACCATAGTCAAGTGTTCGTAGCTATTTATTCCAGTGTGTGAAGACTGCTTACACGACTTCAAAACAAATATATATTCTCCACAAAGCAATTCTAATAATTAACGTCATTGCAGATGCACTGCATTCATTCTGCGTGTTATCGCACAACATGTATGTATGACATGAGACTCAAAACCATGTCATCATACTTACTGAACAAATAAATTCACAAGTGTGAAAAGTGAAGGTAAATATCGCAATGTTCAACATCCAGCACAGCAATGAAGAAATTTGTATGCATTGCTCACGTGAAGAATCAGATTAGCAAATGATGAATGGATGACAAAAGACTGTCAATAAGTAACTCATAACGAGTTGGACTTAAAAGCCAAAAAACACCTGTGCCTGGCCCTGTCAAGTTGCACAACCTGTTCTTGGCTTGCAAAAAATGATGTGTACATCATTCAGTTGTTATTGGATCATTATGTTCTTCACAAAATGGTTCCTGTGCAGCGCTAATTACTTGAGCACGTCATTAACTTGTGGCCTGGGGAAAGTTCAAAAAATTATGGCAGAAAGAACTGAAATGTCTACCAGTCAACTCTGCTTTGAAATTAATAGGACATCAATGATTCCATAATTCATTCACTGGACCATCATTATGGAAAACAACACTATTCTCATCAACCACCTCCATTCTGAATGTGCATTACACTTAAGGCAAGCACAGAAATAACAAAAATTTGTGTTTGTGGCCTGCACTCCGTTACTCTGCGATACGGTAATAAAATTTTGGGACACAGGAAGAGTTTATGACAGGAAACACATCCAACACCAGTCAGTGTTGACAGGCGAGAGACACTCTGAAACTTTGAAGAAGGACTAGCATGATCACTGCAGAAATCCTCGAGAAAACTGTCCCAGAAAGGTGAAATATTTCTGGTTAGTGCTCACTCAGTGACAAAACAGAAGAAATTATGACCACTGCAATCTCCAGGTCTTAGTTTGCCAGACTTAATGGGGATTATAAATGAAACAGTTTAATTATATAACCCACAAATCTTGAAGGAACAAGATACAGATAAAACCTTCATGTGCCAAATTCTAACCTCAGTAAATATCAAAAAGGAGTTTACTATACTGGAGTTAAGTTATTCAGTAATCTTCCACCTACTATCAAAAGTTTAAACCACGATACAAAAATGTTTAAGCCAGCGTTAAAAGAGTATCTCCTATCTCACTCCTTCTACTCTGATGAAGAATTTATAAACACATGTAAGTAACAATGGTGATGGTTTCTCATCATAATTATTTTGCTGTAATACTTTAGTTCCAAAGATCTGTAAATAGCTGTTATAATTATGCATTTATATTTGTGCTAGAAACAAGTATTGTATTTGGGCTATGACCTGTTCTACATTCTTGGCTTAGGCCTATGAAGGATTAATGGAATGTAAATAAATTCTGTTCTACTGAAACACAATACTGAACAGGCTGATGCCAACACTCACCCACACACACTTTGCAAAGTTTCATGAAACACACCAACTAATTGCTTGCACATTAATTATTCAAAATATTGTTTGTAAGTTAACAGTTCCAATATTGTGAAGAAGTGAAACTAAGAGGTTTCGTCTGTCAATGTAAACAAAATACACATATAATGAGTTCTTCCAACAGCAATAATATGCCCTAAATGAGGAATAAGAATATGTGACATATTTATAACTACAAACAATAATAAAAACACATTGGCCCATGAGGGGTTCAATTTTATAACTATCTCTGCACAAGCCCAAAATGCAAACTTATGAGTTACAACGCATTACATGCATACTGTACAAGATCATGCATGAGTGTAATGAATGCAGTCAGATGTAAATAACACTTAGAATTTTATTCTGTTGGATTCACTATTCACAATTACCTGCAAAGTGCATTGAACACAGGTAATTAATTTACAAATGTTGATACCAAGGCAATCACTATAAGACTTTAAACAGTTAGGCCATACACTCTTCAAATACAGCTGGGAACATTCAGAATGGTAAGGTACAAAGAATGCATGTGATCACTGATGGGCATTACATTTTTTCAATCTTGTTATGAAATATGACACTCACCAAAGATATCCTTCTCACAAGGCTGTACGCCTGAGGACCCTGAGATGATCTAAAAACAAATCTTGGCTTATTCTTGCCTTCTTCCATGCCTAGATCACATCTGTCCACCAATTTTGGCAGACTTCTGCCACGAGATACGAGTCGTGCGCCTATCATATTCATTACAATGTGTAAACATCTGACACTAAACATTCAACATAAACCATTGGGATCTCGATTTGTCACATGTGCATTTTTCAAAATTAAATTTATAATTTTAAAATTGTTAAAATTCAAGTAACTTTTGTTACAGAAACATGAATTAACTGACACCACTGGGAAACTGCATGTTTACACTGATTAAAGCCATATATATCTAATACAACTGCCATTTGCTTATTTCACACATCCCATTGTAACTTGAACACTCATAAATCAATAATAGTTCTTTATGATTAGCTGGTATCACTGATACACTAGTACTGATACAGGTCTTATCTCAACACTTATCTATTTCACAGATAACACATAACTTAAACAGACCTATACAATGGAAGAAGAGAATGAATATAAGATTCCTGCTTTACTGCCTCCAAGGAAAGTGATCCCAGCATTCTATCTACCTCTTATTTATTTAAATCATGCATGACTGTAAGATATGGGAGGAAGGAAGGGGAAGGGAGCCTCTGGCATGTCTTCAGTGTGGAAGTATCACACAAAGATTAATTTCTGCAAATTTACTTGCCTCAATGTCTCAAGCACAACTGTACTTGTATTATGTAATATGTGTTGTATTATTATGACTTATTCCACATCCTATTGACATCTAATTTACAGATCCACATAATGTAATAATGATGTATTATGTATGTATGATAAGTAAACTCCCTGCCGAACACATTCATTAAATTTAATGAAATAGGATTTGATGAGGTTTTCATGGCATAGGGTCCAAAGACAGCTACACAGTGCTACAACCCAGAAGACAGCATATCTCAAAATTTAATCAAGATTTGTGAAAACGGTTTTCCAAATGAGGAATTATCTACCACACAACAACCGTAAACATAATGTCTTACCTTACTGAAAGCAAGGGAATGGTACAGTGATTCCGGTTACAGCAACTGCCAGAGGTATTAGAATTCCATGGAACTACTGAAATTGGTGAAAACAGAATTTAAATTTCCTTATAGTCTGTATCAGTTGGTGAAGAATGTTTAATTATAAATGTTTTCTGTTAAGCTCATATCACATTTCTTTACAGTTATATTAAAATATATTCAGGGCTTAATATATTGGAGCAAAAATGTTTATATTGCTTTTTAAGGGTACACTCAAAAAAAGAACCCAACTATCGTTTTTCGAAATTTAATGCCACTGAAACATATTCAACGCACCATGCCAATATATGGTAAATCATACCTATTTATCTAGCATTTCTCTTGTACATGTATCATCCTTACAGGTTAAAACTAATCTCGTCACCCGCATTCAAAAAATGACATTATATCACAAGCTTCTTATGCTCATGCTACCTTATTGACCGCTCAGACTTTATAGAGACTGGCTAATATTAATGATTTTTACAACGTTCTGTGCCCAAATTAATAGTGTATAAAAGGTATTTAAAATTTTTGTGTTTATAAACCTCCTACAGCAATTTTAAATTTTACACTGGCTACAGCTATAAACTTACAACAGAACATGGATTTTACAATTTATAAACATATTATATAGAAGGCTATGACCAAAGTTGGTATAGTCTGTGGCTACGACTGGCAATGCCAATTTTATATTCTTCCAATAGGTAGCAGCATTTTACGATACGTCAATAATAACTGAAAGTGGTATCGTTATATGTTTGTTTTAGTGTTTTATATTTTCATATAGCTTATCATTTACCTTAAAGCGGACAGTTAATTACATCTGTAACATGTGAGTAAAAGGTTGCGCATATTTTCATTTTATGTGAGTTTTATAATGCTGCTGTAATAGTTTTTTAGTTTTTTAATGAAAGCGAAGAAAGGTGTGTGAGGTTGCATTTTAGGTTGCGAATCATGTTTGTTTTATATTTTGAATTTTATGAAGCTTGTATATTGAAATTTATTTCAGCTGTGACACAGAACAGGGGAATTCTTTACCTTCTCGTGGTTGTAGACGTAAAGAGAAAATTGCCAACAAATAATTTTATGTTTCCTTCTGATCTTTACTTATCCTGTTGTTTCATAGCTTATCAAACAGAAAAAATGACTGAAGAACAACAGTTTTGTCTACGGTGGAACAACTTCCAGGCAAACATAACATCTCAGTTTGAAGCGCTCAGAGATGAGGAAGATTTTGTGGATGTCACTTTGGCTTGTGATGGTCAGAGATTGAAAGCGCATAAAGTTGTACTCTCTGCTTGCAGTCCATACTTCAAAGAACTATTCAAAGTATGTATATCTTAGTATAGAATGTAGGCTACTGGCATCAGTTGATGCTGGTAGTATGGGACTAAGCAAAAGTTATAAATGTAGCATTTTTTGATAGGCGGATAAATACTTCAGTAGTAAAAAAATGCCTCAGAGGTTCATTGTTCATTTTAACTCCGTAACTACTATCATGAATTCTATTCCTCTTCAGCTCTGTTCATTACATAACATTTATCGAAGATCGTCAAGTTAGTGATTTTTCCAACATGTGCAGGCAGTAGTAATATTCCTTTCTGCCAGGTTTGGTTGATAGAGATCCCAAAAGGGACACAGAGCTACTCCCCCCATGTTGGTGATTTAAGGAAGGGGTGGTTTTGTCAGATTTGTAGGGTGAGTATTTACTAACCACAGCACTTTACTCTAAGAATGATGTTTTGAGAAACATGTTCATCCTCATCCTCAGATGGTTCTTCAAATGTCGGTGTTTTCTCCATTTAATCACCTTACATGGCTGTCGCTTGAGAAGAATTCATTATTGAATTTACAACCTTTCTTGTTTTGAAAAGTACTCACTATGCTGGCATCATAATATTCAACAGCCTTTCCCCTACTCTCAGAACTGTTTTGACTAAGGTGGAAACATTTAAAGTAGCATTAAAAAAGATACCTAAATGCACATATCTTTTATTCTGTACATGAATTTCTGCAGTTTTGAGAGGACTTATAATTCTTGTAGGGATTGTTGTACTGCTGTAACGTTTGATTAAGTGCAACATTTTAGTATTTTCATGCTAAACTTTTATCATTTGTGGAACTTAATAATAGTTTAAATTGTACTCATTGTCTTATTCGATATCCTACAGTCAGTCACACTAACTTTTGTGTCCATGTAAATGTAGGAATGTGATATTGAGATTAAGTTTAAAGAAATGTCCTGTGAAGTTATGAACTGGATTCAAGTGGATCACCTTATAGTTGGATAGGCAGAATCAAGCAGTTGGTTAACTTTGCCTTGCCTCTGAATAGGTGTGTCTCAATATAATTTGAGCACGTTAGCCACTGGATGCAAGGAAGGACTGACTGAGCATGAAACCACCATCCCTAGTTGGATGGAACCTGAGCTTAGGTTCAACCAATTTGTCAAAATAAGAACCATTTATAGGCCATCCCAGTGGTCTGTGGCTGGAATAATAATCAGCTGCTGTCATTAACAAAGCACATAAGAAGTCTGTCAGTGTGGTGACGTCCAGTCACCTAAAGATGGGAGGCAGAGGCTAACCTGAAATATTGTGTGTATTAAGTGTTCCTCAGGAAATGGATAGTACCTGACAAGAGTGGTAACAATTTTGTTGTGGTATTTGTTTTTTTAAATATACCTTGACTAATAGGACATGTGTGACCTCCCGTGGCCAGTCCGTCTCCCTGTTTCTGAAACTGTTTGTGAAATTGAAATTGTTCCAATATGATTGTTAGGACTTCATTTATTATTTCTTGTATGTAACAAATTTTGTACATCATGCAGTCAGGAAACTTCTGACCAGCTGAGTAACTGTGTGTTGTTCATTATGAAATTCTTTAGTTCAGTACTCACGTGTTTGTTACTGAATTTGTTTCAGAGTAACCCATGTAAACATCCAATCTTGTTCCTACGAGACGTGGCATTTCATCACCTGCGTGCACTGGTTGAGTTTATGTATGCGGGTGAGGTGAATGTGGCACAAGCTCAGCTGTCTGCCTTTCTACGAACGGCAGAGTCCCTCCAGATCAGGGGGCTGACAGAATCTCCACAGAGGCATAAGCAAGTTCACATGAAAGTAAGTTGTGTTCTGTAAATAAGCTTATAAGCTGTAAGTTAACATGAATCAGAACTTCGTTATTGTCAGGAGGTTAGAAGGTTGTAGCAGGTTCCAGATATAGTTCAGATGGGGAAGACAGGAAATGCATACACAATGTTGGTGAGGAAAACCTCTTGGAAGACTGAGAAGGAGATGGTAAGATGGTGTTAAGGTGGGGTTTAAGGAGGGAGTTTCTGAGCTTAGGAAGTGGAAGGATGTGCATTAATTTTAACCACGAGGTTCCGCTGCCAGAGTACCAGTAAATTGGAAGCTGCAACAGGCTTGTATGTTTATTGTGTACTGTTTTGTAAAGTAAGATTGAATGTGCTTTATCCTTGTCCTTTCTTATATTTAAATTTGATTTGAATTTTGCTGTAAAGGCATCTGCAGTGTAATGGTTGTTTGTGTTTTGTTTTCTGGAGAGTTTGTGTTTCAGCTGTGAGGTATGTACTGGTTAATCATTACCAAAGTATCACATTCCTGTTAAATTTTAATGACTTTTGACCATAGTTGACTGCCAGCATTAAAAAGTATATATATATATGCACATGCGCATGTTTGTGTACGTGTGTCTGGAATTATTCGTAATAACACGTGTAATTTTGTGAAAAATAAGTAAATTTCATAGTGTTATTTTATGCTAAAAAATCCTTTTCAAGAAAGTTTATGGATTATTGATATAAAATGAACCATTCATTAGCATTATGTTAATGTAAATGTAAAACATAATTCTGGAAATGTTTTATTTTCCCTATTAAGACAGAACTTTGACTCAGGATTTTGTCCTTGTTTGATGCATATGAAAACGTATTTATCTACACAGGTCAGCTTTGCACTTTGAGCTTTAAAATGTGGTAATTATTTATTTATTTGTGGCTGGTTACGTGCCATTGCAAGCAGCAGTCGGTGCTTAGCGTGTCGTGCTTTGAGCCGGGTCATTGAACTGGCATGGATTGGTCTTCCTCTTGGATAACAGCTGGATGCAGGCTTAAGTATCCTGGAGGTGTGGGTTGGTGGGAATGATTAATTAGGTTGAGTGCCAAAAGTAATTATCCACGCTTGGGATGGCGTAACTTTGCTGGAGAGCAGAGTTCTTTCCAGGAGTATGTTACAGCCAGGGTAATCAGCAGTCACAGGTAGTATCTAAGACGTGACAACCAGAGACAGCTTGAAATTTTCTGGTTTGTTAGCACTAATTAAAATTGTTGCTGTTAACTGTACTATGCAGTGGTGTAGAAATCAATTAAGTAATTTTGAAGGTCAGTAGCTGCTATGTGAAAGGGCAACTTTGGTGTACCATATTGCAACACTAGATCAGCTGTACTGCCCAGGCAACATTGCAGCATTTCAAAGCACACTCATTAGTAGTTAATACTGGTGGTATTTAATTTTCTCACTGGTATTCAAGATTTTACTGTGGTGAAGAAGTGACCCTGAGAGCTATGATAAGTGAAGTGTAGGTCCTGGTGAGGCTCATGGGATTGCACTAGCATGTAGAGACTCAGACAGAGAATTAAAGTGGACTGAGTGTGCCTGTGTTATAGCAGCAACAGCCAAATCTTCCATCAGAGGTAACGGCATCAGTTGGCCTTGACTCCAGTTCGGCTGCAGAAGATATTGCGTCGTCTCCGGAATGTGCGGGCATTGATGAGGATGAGGATGTTGTGAGTCTTAGTCCTGGTGAGAGGTCATCTCCGAACCCAGCCAAGCGGCAGTGCCTGCAACAGGATAACGGTGATGTGTCACATCAGCGCACATCAGACCTCAGACAGGAACTGGAAACAACGAAAGACATTATAGAGGTCAGCTACACTGTGTAACACATGGCATGAGATATCTGATTTCACACTAAGGCAGATTGCACAGGAGGCTGTAATCCGTATCTGCTAAAGGGATATCTGTCTTGTGAAATGTGTCTGTGGTTGGCCAAATGGGACTACATCATCCCACTGTGTGACATTTTATTAAAAATTGTGTATATTTACAATAACAGCATCTTTTGTGTTTAAAATGCTTCTGTATGCATTTTATGTTATCAGACATTCATTTGTAATTAAATCATCCACTGTAAAGGGTGGGCTTTTGTATAAATATTTCCCTGAAATTTTCCAAAATTTTGGAATCTTTAAAATAGTTCTCCCAAGAAGCTGTTCTTTCTTTGTCTCACACAATGCCAGAATCAGACAGAAAAATCTAAACACTGCACAAATTCCCCTGCTTATTTCTCCACCTTTTAATAAAATTCAGACTTCCTTATCCTTGTTATTTATCAAGATATTAGTGTACCGGTCGTGCAACTTTATAGAAACTCAGAGGAATGAGCTTTAATCTCCTGATCCACTTAAAATATCCATGAGCTTAGGAGGTTGTAATAGTTTTATTGGAGGAAATCCAACCTCCCTGAGGAGTTGCATGTGTTATATAATAAAAAGATGTATTACATTGCAAAATTGTGGAAGATGGCACATTTCTCTGCTGTTTGCTTTCATACATTTCAGTCGGGCCACTTGCCACCCCTGACTAATTGCCACCCCATTGTAGCCTGAGTTTGTATCCGCAGAAATGCTCTAGCATTTATTTATGATTATGTCTCTCACTGGATCATACTCCCTGGCCTAAAATTAGAAGCTTTATCTCTTCTTGTATGTTTGTCTAGTTTCTCAGCAGTTGAAACGTGCAATTGAATCTTTAATCTCTTTTTCAGAATTTCAAAGAAAGAAAGAAAAAACAGAGAAGAATGTGAACTAAACTGCCCGTCTGATTGTTTTGTAACTTCAGTATACAGGAAAATTGATTCTTCCTTAATATCCAGCATTTTATTCAGAGATGCTGAGTTAGAAATTGCAATGAATGAACTACAATTTATCTGCAATCTAATGTCAACTTAATCTGGTGATGAGGTTGAGCATATTTAAAGTCCCATATGCCATGTGATAGATCTGGTAGACTTTATTTACGTTATTAGTGTTCCTCTTACAGCATGTCTTATATTGTTTAAATTGACTTGTTGATAATTTGTGAAACCTGGGTTTTGGGATGACTAAACGATGCCTGAAAGAGATGAATTGAATTCTTTTTACATGGGGAATGAGAGGTGTCATTTTTAGATTCTTCCATAAATCTGGGTAGTCTGGAGATTCTAGCAGAATATTCTTACTGCCAAGTTTATTGTTTCCCTTAATTTCATATTGATTTAGTTAACGGTTAATTTCACTCGTGATGTCGTATGATGCAGCCGAAGCTGGAGCTACCAGACTACGCTAGTGATGGGGAGAGCAAGACAGGCACGACGACATTCCTCGGACTAGAATCCAACTCTGTTGATGTCAATGCGTCATTTGCAGCAGCATTACAGGGTAAGTTGTGGTAATTTCACTGTTCTCTTGGATGACAGGAAGGAACTCTAATTTACCGTGAAAACCTCAAGTCCTATACAGATGAGTTGTGATATCTGCTTCTTCATATTCTTAAGATTCAATTCCCCATCTGTGAAATGTTTTGATGTGGCGTTCTAGGAATTTACATTCTAGGACTTTAAACATGTCTAGAGACCAAGCCTGTTTCTGTAGCAGTAATGTTCTAGACTTGTATGTTCAGGTTTGCAGTTTATTTTGGTTTTCTTCAGTTTCTCCAAGCATATGCTGGTCTGATGCTTTGAAATAAACCGTGACAGCGTTCTCTCACATTCTTATGTACTGACTTCCCTTTCCATTTTCACATCTCATTAGATGCTATGAAACTTCTGCAGTTGAAGCATCATCATTAAAGGACTTAATGCCTCAGCCAAGCATGGGTTGCACCAACTCATTTTTTTTTTGGGTGTTTGTGAAACGTGGTCTACTTTGAGGGGAAAACAAAACTGTGGGATTTGAAGTTTTCACAGGAGTGTGAGGTTAGGTTATAGTCTTCTGGGATGTTTCACCATATTACCTTCTGGTTGTATGCTAGCATTTCAGAGGGACCTACTACCTCCATTTCCAGGATGAACACTGAAGATGGAGACAACATCTTCCTCTGAAATGTTGGTATGTGATCAGAAGACTGCACGGTACAACAGCCCGGAAGACCACAGTCTAAAATAAGTTACAAATGCTTGAAATAAAACCAAGGTACAAAGAGGATGAAGTAAGCAAGCAGTGTAGGACCGTTGCCTAGTGTTACTAGGACAATAAATGTAGGAGCGTTGAGAGGCTAGACTTGTGGCTGGATTGGGGAAAGCAAGAAATGCATACAGAAATTTGGTATGGAAAAATTGAAATTAAATTCTGATCGTGTCACCTGTGGTAGCAAGAAATGAAAACAATTCTGCAGTGGTGCCTATGGTGGAGTCTGCGTTTGGCAAGAGTGTAGAATCAGGCAGTTGGTTCTGTATTGATGATTTTGGCAAGAATATGGCCTCAGTTGCTGTGAAGATGTGTTCACATTTAATTTAGTTGGGAAGAAGTTTTATAAATCTTGTACTTTCATTGAAGTTTGCAAATATAATGCTGCAATAAACTGTGTTACTATTCAGCTGAAAATAAATTCATTCCCATCAACTTTGACACATCATATTCTATTATTTACATATTAATCATTTAAAAATACTATTAAAATACAGTTTTATTCATATATTAACAGATTCAAATACCAGAACATGGCTATATAGGTCTGTAAAAACTAATTGCGCTGTTATCTGTCTTCGACTTTTGATAATTTGACCATATCTATAGAACAGCTGGGAATTGCTTATAGCATGTACGCTGTCTGGTACACTGGAGGCTCAAGAAGTTGCAGAAGAGAAGACTGCAGAGCCACAAATTGGGACACCCCTGTCAGAATGATTTGGCACTGCTTACAAAGCAGTGTCCCGGTTTCTGCCTCCGGATTATTCCCTGAGCTTTCTGATTCAGGTGCTGTCACTAGTTGCGGGGAAATTTAACATTACTAAAAAGAAGGCACCTGTCTGTATTTTTCTAGAAGAATATGTGAAATGATATGCCTCTGAAGAACCAGTGCCATCAACCTGTGTGGCCTTTGAAATTACCTTTATGTCTCCTGCATCTGCAGAATGACGCAGTATCTGATAAGTGAAAACAGTTTGTCCTATTCAATGTGATTGTCATTGCATTCTGCTATCATTTATTACAAATGTACCGTACTATATTTCATCCTACTTGTGAATTAAAAACCGTATCAAGAGCTTGTTGAGTAAGTATATATCATTTATAATTTACTGTTCTAAGTTCTGAACTGGAGGTACACAACATTTTGGAGTGCATCATGTTCATAATTATTATTCTTGTTTTGCACACTTCATCATTGTGTCCTGGAATTTGCTTTGTGAGATCTGACGTTCTCACAGGGGTGAAGATTTCAGTTTTAAGGGAAGATTCTGAACCTTTGTAGTTACTTCACGTTATTCATGTAGAAACCTCTTATCCATTGCTGGAATAAAACATTCCGTTGTTCTCTTATATGCTTCAAATGTTAGAATGTTTGAGATTTGAGGTTCTTGCAGTGGTGAAGATGTTGATGTTGCTCTTGTAGGTTGTCGTACCACGTGGACTTGTATAGGTCGCGTGAAAAGTGCTGTCACTTCCGCAAAGGACTGATTTTGGTCGTATGAGATGGACTAGTCCGAAGTGCATGCTAGAGGGGTGTCAGCTTCAGTTGGTTTGTAGCTCTAGCTGTGTTTAGATCGGTGTGTCACCGTAGCTAAGGCTGTGCAACCCCCACTACAACTGAACTCCCCCTCTCTCAGCTTACACATCGTGCATTTAGGTGTCACCACTACTCGCGCGACCTGTAGGTAGACACACATTCCCTTTGTTGGTATGAACCTAGAACTCAACACTTCACTGCAACCAAGACGATCGATACTGACATAGAATTT